GGGGGGGGGGGAGGAGGAGGAGGAAGAAGGAGGGAAGGAGATAGAGGGACAAAGAAAAAGATAGAGCGAGAGGGAACGAGTGGAGGATACGGGAAGAAGTAAAAGCCGAACAAGGAGAAGAGGAAGAAGAGAAAAAAAAAGTACCAGTAGTCGTAGGAAAAGGTGGAGATGCCGGAGAAGGTTAGTCCCTGTATAAGGCGCATGGGATGGAGGAGGTGGAAAGAGACGGAGAGAGGCGGGCGAAGTGAGGCGAAGCGAGACGGGTGGAGGTGAGGCCTCGCGCGCACGAGCACCGGGTATAAGTAAGAGGTGATGCCTGGGTACGGGGGAGAAGTGGGGCGGGGAGGGAGGGGACGTCGCAAGAAGAAAGGAAAGAAAGGGAAGGACGACCGAAAATGGGGACAAAGAGAAAATGACAATGGCGAGAGAGGAGCCATTGGATTCGATTGGAAAGGCAGCCACGCAGGCCTCTTTCCTTTTACCAGCGTTTTCTCCGTATTATACTTTATGCTTCCCGCTCTTCCTCTACGCACACGTTGGCTGGCTATTCCGTCTGTCTCTGTCTCTGCGTTACTCTTTCTCTCTATCTACATTTAGCATCTCCGTCCTACTCGTTCCTACCTACTTTGTCTCTTCGTATATATATTTTTTCTTCCTCTCTCCCTCTCTCTCGCACCCGTGCCGCCGCCCTCGGAGAATCCTCTAGCTTCCTCCTTCCTCGCGCTATCTCAATTACGACGTTTCAGGTTATGTACTCGACCGCGTCCATTAAGCCGGCAGCCCCACCGTCCATGTCACATCGATTCGAGTATATATGAAAATTAAGTGCTCCTTAGGTCTTGGTCGTGCGCGATTTTCGTTCTCCGACCCTATATATACATCTGATAAAACTTTTTCTCTTTCTCCTGGGTGTACCGGGCAGAGGATTAAATCCTCTCTTTTTATTTCTCCTTATGCTGTTTAAACCCTCATTTACTTTTTATCCGACAAACTAGCCAACATTCAGCCGCTCGATACCTTGGTATTCTAGAATAGTAGTGTGGTGGTAGATTGTAGTAGAGATGCCAGTGGGTTCTGGTAGTAGGGTGGAAATGATCGCTTAGGGGTAGAGGGGAGGAGTGGGGGCGATCCGAAAATCAATAAGACCCTTCTTCCATTTTGCCTACCTAACCCTCTCTCTCTCTCTCTCTCTCTCTCTTTCTATGACATTTAACACGCGATTCTGTTATCACCCTTCGATTCCCGTACTCGCACAGTCACTCTCGAAGAATTGGACAAATTTTCACCACCTTCCACCGAATCCTTATGGAGAACTTGACCTTTACGACTATCGGTGCTATTTCGCTAAAATATAATGTCGGCGCACAATGAAATTCTACTTCTGCCAGGTACATATTTCCTGAAGGAAAACTATTGTTTGCTACCTCACAGGTACAGGCCAGACGCACAGACACGATGATCCTCCCTGTTTCCTCCCCCTCGCGCTAGTCGAATAAACAAAAGTACGAGGACGGGGGACCGGGGGCCACGAAGGAACAGTAAAATTCTGGAGAATGTGTACGCGCCATCGGAGTGGCCTAGATTCACTGGAGACCTGCTTTCTAGGCAGCATTTCTCTTTATCACGGCAAGCGCACCGCCTAGGTGAACCGTTCGACGAGGATTCTAGAAAATGCCTGCTTCGCTCAATGCCCTGCTCGTTGGGACTTGTCCCTGTGGGAAAAGTAATAAAGGCTAACGCGACCGAACAGAAAATCTTATTGGTCACCGGCAGACCGTTGGGAAATCGTACGGGAAAGGTTATCCTGAGTATTGAGAGGCTGACAGAGAGACAAGGATCCCAACTATGTTCCGCAAGGGCTTCTAGAAGGATTATAATATTCCGAGGACTCGCGAGGATGAAGACTTTGTGAAATTCAGGGCAAAGCCAGTTTCCGCTCGTGTCCCACTTTCCGGACGCTTGGCTATACAAAATTCATGACTCTAGGCTCGAGTGATCTTCGCGGACTTTGGCTCGTACTTGTTCTGGTAGAGCCAGCCAGTTATACGGCCCAGGCAACTAGCGAGAAACTTCCAGGAGCGGAGAGATCGTTTTCCTCGTTAACCGGGTACCTCTCGCTTCCATCGTCGAGGACGATGGCCACGAGGACGCGATGCCTGTTTCCAACAAGTGTAACGCAGATATTCTATTAAGGCTCAAAGAAGTTTCGGACTGTGGAAACGAGCTTTAAATTTAATGATCTTTTACTTTTATTAATCGTCATGTATAATTTAATCTACCGGTATGAGGATTGATGCATTTTTTTTTTTTCAATGAAACAAAATGTCAATGACAATCTTCTGGATTGTTTTATAAGGATTATATTACTGTTGGTAAATATATATGTAGTATTATGTGCGTACCTCCTTTATATACTGTGTATATAATATCCAAGTTATTAATCGAGAGAATGGATGAGGATGCAGTTTGGACGAGTCCCTTAGCGCTGAATTATTGGTTGGGATTCGTGCACGTGACCTACCGTAATCCGAACGACGATTCAAACGTGCACGCGGGAAGTGTCACTGGGCTGAATGGCACAGAGTACAAGTTTTAAGGTTGACGTTTTAATTGAGTAATTTTATTCGTAACGGTCGTAGATCATTGTCACGCGTACGTACTCGCGGCGTGTTTTAGCACATCGAGAGAGAGAGTAAGAGAGAGACAGACGCGGGTCGAAGCCGAATCAAAACAAAACGCATCGCACGTATCGATAAATCGTTAAACTGCACTCGATGTGATAACTGTCAATGGAAACAACGACGAATGCGGAAAATAAATGATTTCCTTTCCACCTAGCTGTCGCGCACGCACAATCACTGTTAAATACATTGACAGCTGAAAATATATCGACAGCGTCCACGAGGAGGTAAAATAAATATATTAGTTGTAAAGAAAGAAAAAAAAAAACATATGACGGTTAAAAATGTAACCAATGACAGGAGGTTATTCCAGAGGATGATTTTCGTGCGATTCTGTGCAAAGGTTTGCAGAATAGTGAAAGTGAGGCTTACCGAGAAAGGAATAGGGAAAGGAAAGGCGTATTCCTCGATGACAGTCAAGGATACTGTTGATAATCGTCGTTATTTCGCGTACCTTACCATGACCTGACCCACAAATCAAAACACTATGTGTCCACTACGCGCCGTAAGAGTTGCCAAGGCACCGAAAGGTTCGTGTCCGCAAGTTCGATGTTTACAAGCACGTAGAAGCGCGTTGACACACTGTCAATTGTCAGTCGTTACATAAACCGCGATCTGCGCCGCCGTTCGGCAGCTGTCACTCACCGTTTGATCGTGAAAACGTCGCGGCACGAAGTAGCGTAGCGAAACACGGGGGCACCGTGATGGCGGCGGGCGGCCCGTTGCTTGCGTTGCGTTCCGTTGCGTTGCGGACGGTGGCGCAAAGCGATTAAGCGATTTTGTTGTGGACCCCGATTCTTCCTCGGCTCTCTCTTCCCGGCTTTCCACTTCTCCCGCGCGCCTTTCGCCTCTCCCGCCGGCTGCGCTACGCGGTGAAATCGCACTTGAACGGAATCCTTATTTCAACCCCACCATTCGGCCTATACCAACCCCTTACCCCGTTCAGAGACCGCCGGATGAACCCACCGTCAACCCAGGGCCGTGCACCGGACTCTGCTTGTTCCTGCAACTTCTTTTGAACATTATTCTCATTTTCTTTACTCCTTTAATAATTCTTATTGACTTTACTTTAATATTCTGTGTGCTCTAATAGTTTCATTTAAATTTATCAAGTGTCTTTTTTTTAAGACTTTTATTACATTGCCTGCACGATGCTCCACGTGCGAATCGGCCAATGATCTTAATAATAGAAGTGGCTGTAGTAGCTTATTAAGAGATATTTTTATTTTTCAAATTCATTTTAACTGTGAATCAATATTTTTTTTAATATCGTACTTCGTTCTTGATAAGTATGTTGACTATGATAAGGGTATTTTTATTTTCAATGAAACGACATACGAATATACAAAGTGTTTTTTAAAGTCTATACTTCGGTCTGGTTTCTCAATTTAATTGAACGAGGCACCACAGTATTGGCACGTTACTGGCGGACTCTTGCGTTCTAGCCCCCCACTACTGGTGGGAAGTTGCGCAGTGTCGAAAATTTGATGTTCTGCGCCGCGTCTCCCCGCAAGCGGCATTCAGTTCCGTGCGTCCCGGGTGACTACGTACAGAGTTCGGCCGATCGTTAACGCGTAGCTCCACGGCCATTGTGTAAAAAGAACGCTCGGGTAGTGCACGCTGAGGCCGGGTAGCCGGACGCGTAGTTTTTCGTGTGATATTTAGATAGATTGTGCCAAGATAGGTGAGTACCACATCGTAATAGTTTTCGTAATAGTTTATTACCGGGTCGGGGTCTGTTTGTCGCGAAAACTTTGCGGAAAATCGGGTCGCTGCGCCATGCCAAGAGGGAGCAGCAGCAGCAGCAGTGGTGGTGGTGGCGGCGGCGGCGGCGGCGGCATTACCACTCCCAGGTTTATGGGTTTTTCCGGAAAAGTGTATGTTTAGGATTTTCCGAGATGTTAGAACATATTTGTGCGTCTACGTGCTCGCGAAGTTATCGTGTATCTAGCAGTCTCGGTAGGCTTGTTGAGTTTTCCGAGCTTTTTCGTTGAGTTTTCGCCATTTTGTCTCGCCAAGTCCGCAAAGTCGGCCATTGCGTATGTGCCCCAGCTTGCGGTCCAGGGCCGGCTGAAGCCTCGAAGAACCTTTTTCAATGTGCTAAGAGTTTTGTAATCTTTGTATGCTCTTTGGGAAGTTGTTAGATTAGATTGCGGTAGACTTGGCTTGTTAATCTTTAACTTTGTCTTTGATATAAACACAAAATTTCGTATTTACTCATGATGTTGACGGTTATTCAAATATTTTTCATTTCTCTTTTACAAAATTACAATATTGATTTCGATATCAGTTGTATATTCAAAGTTTAACGTCTCTCGTGTACTTCTCGTTTTACAAATTAATTCAATTTTAATGTCTCATGCATGTCTTGAGAGAAAACTTTCATCGTTTATTACGGCACCTCGTAGGAAAATCACTTGGCGCAAGTCGATAACGGTCGCCATTATGTAGCAGAAAATATCGCTCGAACTCACCTTTCATATTTACATTTGTCACAATAACAGCATCGTTTCTGGAATATTCACTAGTTGAACATCCTTCTCGTTCTAGTCTTCACGATTACGTATTTGAAATAATATCGCCAAACAAGAATGATGCAAAGAAAAATAATTAATAAATAGAATCCGGTATCTGACAACCTGTCTGGTAGGTTTGAGATATTTAATGGGTTCAATATTTCAATGTACAAATTGTTTGAACTCAAAGACTACTTAATTTTCTTCGTGAGACATGCTAATGCACTCGTTCATGAAATTTTAAATTTTGCTCTTCCTTCATTATGATTCGTTCGCTCCAATGATGGCGGAGCGCATGTCCGTTGCCCGCAGCCGTTTTCTTCTGCATTCTTCTTTTTCTTGTTTTCTTTCTCTCTGCGCTCTGAGATCTCTCCGAGGGACCTGCGCTCTCGCAAGAGCGCAGAGGCCGTTGCGCCGCGCCATTGTTAAAAAGGGCAGCGCTCGAGGCGTACTCTGAAACCCAGACTGACGCCATAGGCAGTTTTTCACGTTTCTCTACAATAACTGTGATATTACATTGTTTTTTTACCGCAACCATATTAGGTGAGTGATAAAAAACTTGATTTTCGTGACGATAGTGTACCGCGTAAGATAACGCGATACGTCTTAAGAAAATTGTAGAAAAGGTCCCAAAGACGGTATACGATAAAACGGGCGGTTTCTTTTGCTGTTTTTCCATTTTCGTGTACCGATTGACTCACGGCAAATATATGATACCAATCGATTTTTTTCTCTTATTTTTCCATAATATTTGTCGGATGATTTCAAGTAAGGAGTCTCCCTGAAAAAGTGGCTGTTTGTGATTTTTCATTGTAGACCATACAACCCTTTGCGGGGAAATTCCACGTCTGTCTGTAAATTGACTTCTTCCCTTTCTTCCTTGCCAGGAAGCCATTTTCCCCTGGGAATTTTCATCCTAGTTTTCGCCATTTTGTGTCGGGTGCGACCCCAGCAGCTGGCGGCCATATTGTGTGGGGCCAGTCGGTGTGGAAGCGTGGAGGTGGATGAATAGATCAGGGACGAAATGGGTACTACGTTTAATTCTGCCAGGGCCCTTTCTTTCTTGTCCTACTGCTTTTTCACTTTCTCTCGCACGTTCTCTCGGTACACTGGCAAAGATGATCTGTCATCAATTTGTTTTCGCTGCACATGCTGCCGAGACTGTAGAGTCGTTTGCTTGACGTAACAATCTCTGCACGAGACCGACATAAATAGATTATGCAATTCTGCGCGTAGCCACCGGTGCGCTTCTCGTCCTCTTGTCTACGCCTCTTCTCGCTAGGTCCCTTGATCGATCGTGTCGCGTTGCGCATGTGAGTCGCACAATTGATTTTCCTCCTTCCCGGATACCTCTTCTCGCCAACAATCCTCTCGTGCCATTTTCCCCAAACAATGTCTCTTTAACGTCAATTCTAGCAGAAGTTATCGTCGTCTGGTATACTCAAACATGTAGCCACTCTTTTATCAAATAACGCTCTTACCACCAATTATTTTCCTCCTTAAATTTTCTGCATCTAAATTATTGGATTTCCCGTTAATTGCCATATCGCTATATTATATAATAAAATCGTCGAGCAACATGGGAAAATTTATAAATCAAATCTCGGTCGCTGTTTATTGAATCTGTCCTCCTTGTGTTTCAATATTTTCTTGTATCCGTTGATAATAGAGAACCATATATATTTTTCGTGTAAAATAATTATAAAAAAAAAGCGTCATGCCGTACGAGATCCGAGAGTCAGGCTGCCTGAAAAAGATCGGTTGGCAGAGCAACTAGTATATACAAGTATTGCCGACGGTTGAGGTGTGCGCCCAGTACCGGCGGTTACGAATGCGCATCCTCTTGCCGCAGCAGGTTAGCTGGTGCGCATGCGCGGTGCTTGCGCGTCCTCCCGCACCATCCCCACCATTCGGGCTCTACCGTTAGGAGGACACGCACAAAGGAAAAGACCAGACCGTCCCGACGCGCTTGCATCACACAGCCATTTTGGAAGCTTCGCGGCTTCACTACGGAGCTTTTCCTCCGCCGCCCTCGATAAAGGGACACGGCCTCGTCGTTTATCGTCGCCGTCACGTTAATTTCTCTACCCCGACCCGGTCGCACGTTTGTCCGGCTCGATGCACGCGGCAACGAGGAGGTAGCAGCACGGACAGTGTTTAATCGAGAAAACTTTTTTTCTTTTCAACTCTTGGCTACGTCACGGCAGAAAGGAGGAAACGAAGACACAAAAGATGGAGGACGATCAGCAGTTCTGCTTAAGGTGGAATAATCATCAGAGTACGCTTGTCCAGAACTTCGATACCCTCTTAGAGAGTGGCACGTTGGTTGACTGCACCTTGGCGGCGGAGGGGAAGTCTTTAAAGGCCCACAAAGTGGTCCTCTCCGCGTGCAGTCCATTCTTTGAGGTAAGAACACATTTTAGTATGTCTCTTATTTATATATAATAATTATCTTGAGTCACGGTTCACCTTGACCGATACTTCAAGCTTTGATGCATTTTTCTGTTTGGAAATAAGGCCCCCTTGCTTTGTGCAATATTTTTTAATAACATTTTTTCTTGCACCTTCCACGTTAATGGTGGTCACGTACCTGTGCTTGTACTATACTGTAAACTGTTGACGCTGGACAGATACGTTTTAGATAAAATATCGAAAAGAGCTCAGCATCCACATGTCATTCGCATATCGAGTAAAGTTGGCTGGTTGTTGGAGAGAGAAAGGGCAATGAAAATTTGGTACGAGACTGACTGGTATCTGGTCCGCTTCTTTGTCCCGTTGGCTCCTGAGTGTTAGATCAATACCAAATGGAGAGAGAGGAGAGGCTGATGTTGAAACAAGATGGCCGCCGTTGCTGAACGTTGCCTGGGCACGGGTGAGGAGTTAGAGGGAGAACGAGCCGGAGTGGTAGCACTATGGAGCAGCAGGCGGCGGGAAGGTACCAGAGCCCACCAGCCTGAAATCCCCTCCTGGCTTGTGATCAATACAGGGAAAGCAAGATGGCCGATTTCCAGGGCACTCCGGCCTGGGCCATGCCCCCCCCCCTCCTCCACCCCCGGAACAGAAGATAGCTCTTTCTGGATGCCTTGATGAATAATCTTTACGATTGATCATAGAAATATTCAATGACTGTGAGACGGACTTGAAATGATATTTCTTTTCTTACTTCATTCTTTCCCCACTAACTTTTCATTCGATCATGCGTGACTCAAGTGATCAAACCCGTTTGGAACTTCAAGGTTTTTTAGTTGTCCTTTTTTAGTTTCTGAATTACATTTCGAAAATCGTGCTTCAACTTTGCATGAATATCGGTGTTGCTCTGCGGCCTTATTCCCATAATGAATCGTCAGTATTTATTTAAATTTATCGTGCGACCGGTCTTTCAGCTATGAAGTAATCGTCGTTATGGTTTTGTGCTATTATTTGTTTTCATAATCGGTGATCCAACCTATGCAACAAGATGAGAACGCAAGTGATTAAATATGCTGGATGTATTTGTATTTGCAGGGCCTCCTCAGCGAACACTATGACAAGCATCCCGTGTTTATACTCAAGGATATTAAGTTTAAAGAACTCAAAGCCATGATGGACTACATGTATAAGGGAGAAGTAAATATCTCTCAAGACCAATTGGCAGCGCTCCTCAAGGCCGCCGAGTCCCTGCAAATCAAGGGTCTCTCGGAATGTAAAACGAGCGGCAATAGTGGCGGGGGTGGTTGTGGCGGAAGGAGCGAGCCCAGACCACCGAAAGTCGTCTCACAGCCAACGGCGCCGTCGTTGGACATTCCCCACCCGTCTTCCGGTCTCACCATAGAAAAGAACAGCAAAGTTCCTAGGCAAAGTTTGACACAGGTCTCCGTCGGTGATCTGCCAGAAGACTCCGCCAGTCCCCAGCTTCCCAGAGGGCTCTCCTCCAGGTACGATTTAAATCCATTATATATTTGTTACTTTGCATCTGGAGAATGAAACTTAAGTTTTGCAGCCGCGTGGGATATATCTGTTCTTACGTCCTTTTTTTTTTCTTATTTCAGGGAAGGCTCGCAAAGTCCGACAAATGCGAAAAGAAAGAAAAGGTTTCGCGGTAGGAGCCTGGGCGACGACAATTCCGTTGAAAATCACGACGCATCGAACTCGAGTGACATGCCCCAGCAAATGGGGGTTTCGTCACTGGCGATCGCGCCCGTTGCCAACGAAAAGTCACACGCCGACCCCACAGACTCTCTCGGTAGTTCAGTGCTAATGCAACAGCTGGCCAAACCTGCCGACGAGATGCTCCAGGTTAGCATCTATTTAGAATTCTTGGTGCAATCTCTTTCTACTTTTCTTCAGTGCTTTTGATCCTTTATTTTTTTGCCAACGCCTAATAGAACCGGGTGCTCTATTGCTCGACTTCTCTCGCTTCGTTGGTAGAATATACTTCGCACTTTTATCCTTCTGTTTGATTAACATTGCCAGATCAGGCAGAGTGGAAACGGTACGAGACATTTTCCTTTCTTTACCAGTACTGATTTTATTCTTTGAGAATCTCTACCGGAATCGACTGTATTTATTACTTGAGTTTCTTTTTTATTTTATTGATGACAATTGATGGATATAAACATTTTGGGTATTTTTTTTTTTCTATGAACAGATGCCGCTGGAGAATCAACAGCCTAATGATAATTTGATAGAACCAAAGTCCGAGTACCTTGAGGATCCGGAGGAGAGTGTCGAGGATCTAACCCTCGATGACGACATGAACGATTTAAATGAGATGGAACAGGATACCAACAGAGCTGGCCCTTCACACGAATCCTCCCAGCACCCTGGTACGTCACCCCTTTATACATTTACCTTATTCCGATTTTTCTTTTTAATTTTACAGCGGTTTGGAACGCGTTGTACATACCACGGATAATGCATTGAAACAGGGAGTTTTTCTTTAATACGTGCGCCACATGCTTCATTAAAAAGAATATAGTTAATTACAACTTAACGAGAGTACCGAGACACCAGGGAACCTTCCTTCCAAAATAGCCTTGGATAGAAAGGGGATATCTGGCTCGAAACAAAAATCTAACATTTCTTCACCATGAATCTCATTGCCAATAGAGTCTGAAATGTTTGTGAAAAATGCAGAGTGCGAGCTGAGCGAAGTCTAGGCCGTTTCATAGTAGGAGACTTTGAATTTGATGAATTTTCGCGATTTGTTAACGAAATTAATTGGTTTTCTTTTTTCTTTTCCTATTAAACGGGACGTCTACAAATTGGCCGACACTAGCTTGGGTTTCCTCGTTGCAGGTGGGGGGGCGGGAGCGCGGGCTCGGTCGAGCGGGAATTTGAGTTATGGTGAAGGTGGTGGTGATGATGGTGACGGTGAGGGTATTAGCGCCTGCGATGGTGCTGAAGGTGCCCTGTGGGCCTCACATTTCCTCGAATGTAAAAAGGGCCCTAACACGAGGCGACCTCGACCGGACGTTGACGTAGGCGCGTTGCTCAAGTCCCTGGCTAATAAGCAGGGTAGAAAGTATAGCTTAGACTCGGTTAAGATGTCTCTGGACGCTATTTTGCAGCAGGGCGTTAGCACCACTCAGGCCTCTGAAATGTACGGCATTAATCGCTCGACTCTGCAGTTCTATTTAAAAAAATTGAACGTCGTAAGAAGACGATGGAGACAACCTAGCAACTGGATGCAGCCTAGCCAGTCTTCGACTTGAATTTCACGAGTCTGTCTTACGCGGCGTTATTTATACTATTCGCAATACACTACGAATTATATAAACTTCGAAGGACCGTTGACGAAGAAAAATTAATATCTCCCATTTTTCATATCAGTTCTAAGCTTTTTTTTTTTCTTTTTATGACTTTGAGCTAATTCGTTAATCAGAAAGCACTAAAGTCTTGAGACTGTCAAGGTCCTGACTCGTGAACAAAAGGCGACTGTTGCAAAGGGCATAAAATATATTACGATCATTCGTTCGTGTTAGCTTGTCAAAAAAAAAAAAAAAAGTGAGAAAAGTAGATGAAAAAAAATTGTAAAAAGAAATATTCATCAGTCGAGACGTAAAGATTCGCGTTTCAATATTGCGACATTTTTTTTTAAAAAATTCTCATAAATCCTCTGTGAAAACGTCTATTGCGAAACTTCATTGTCTGGATTCTGAAACCAGTGAAACGTAATAGAAAGTAAAAGGTGCATCTGTAGCACAGTAAATTCGTGGAATAAAAGATAATCCGCGATTCAGATCACCAATACTGTCTGTTCGGTAGTGACGAATACATAGAAAATGTTTCTACTTAAGACGTTGCGTTTTTGAAATAAATATTTAAAAAAAAGAATCTCAAGACAGCATATTTCTCGGATCTTAAAAAAATATTTCTAGAGAGACGTCAAAATGGCTTTTCGGGACGAACGCTTAACACTTAATATGCGGGCAACTGGAAATTCTGTTTTTTTTTTTTTACGTCATCCATGAGTTTTTTTAAGGTCAGGGCAACTTCAGACGCATAAAATTAGCTTATTTACTTTGATATTGAATTTTAAGATTTTGCTTTTTTTTTTTTAATGGAAAACTGGTTCCGATAACGACATGGTCGAAATATTTGTCAATGAACTATTCAATAACAGCGAAAGTGATGTTTGAAATTTTTATTACAATAGTAATTCTTAAGATGACAGTGTTACTCAGACTCGATATCCTTTTTTGCTGGCTCGCACAGTTTTTGAGAAGATTAAAAAGTTGAGTGATTTAAAAAAAAAATATCCGAAGTGAAAATACATGTAACGTCAGTGGAGTAAAAAAAATCAAATATCGTTAAACTCCAACAACCTGAAATGTGACGTGACTTTTGGTAATTTTTACGTGTAGTTCGCGAAATCGCCAAAAATAGTCCGCGGCGCGTAGGTCGATATTCAAATAATAGCCCCGCATATAAGACGACACTTAAAGAATGTCCTGCAAAGGCCAAATATTCTTGAGAGATCGCACACGTTCTCGCCAGTGACCTGTTATCTTGCGGAGAGTCACTTAAGATAGATAATAAGCTAAAGAGGATTCGTATTGCCAGAGTTGAAACGTCGCTTGAACGCTCTCGTTATCAGTAATGAAAATGTGCGGTGGTGAGCACCGGAACAGGCTTGGAGTTTACAAGCGAAAGAGGAAGTACTGCTGTTAACGTCGGAGCCAATCGATAATTGATTAATTGGAAATGCGATAAGGGAGATAAAGAAAATAAAAGAAGGACGTAATTGGTACAAAGTGGAACCAGAGCTAAAAGCGAAACTATCAGTATTATTTGTTTGTCTCTCGGTGCACGCGAAGTAGAGTACGTGTCCACGATAAGGCGTGCCTCTCGCTCTTATTCTAGGCTGTGTGTTAAGTAATTTTGTGATGTGTGTTAGACATTGTGTTATCATTCGCCAAGTACTACTCGCTGTAATGAGGTCTGAACGTGACGGTACTACGTAATAAACATATATGTATCTTTGAAACGCACCGACGGAGCATTAATCTGTGGCCACGTGTATTACAGGGTTATTCGGCTGTAACGTAATAAATTTGAAAAAAGAAGTCGAGAGGAAGCCTTTTACGACATTCATTAGCCAATTGAAATTCTATCTGATTTTATGACCGCTAATGGATATCCGAAGGCTTCTGGTTGCTCTTGCACGGAAATTTCTCGCGATAACTGGATAACCCTGCATAAGAAAAAAAATTCCTTTTAATTATTTATATATATATATATATATATTTATACATGTGCATATCGATTGCATATTATTTCGTGAGAGGCTCCAAACCGCTTTTTCCCCCCTGTTGATTGCACACGAGATATCCCGTGGTACCCTGTGGGGATCCTGAAAATAAATAAATCCCAGTTTAATCGATGATCTACGTAAAAATGTATATTTTTTATTTTCATCTCCATTTTTTGATTTATGCTCGATTCAGGTCTAGCCGCGTGGCACGTTACCGGAGACAGAAGTAACGCTGGCGGCGTCGTCGGCTCGGTGGCTGGTGCTCCTGGAACGAACGACGAAGTGTTTCTTGCGGCCCAAGAGGCTGCGCAGGCCCACCGCGACTCCCAAGGTAGGCTCATCCTCGCCATTTCTTACGCGCCTCTGGCCCCCGTAACAATAGGCACTCGTAATCGGCACGAAATTCCAGCTCGGAGATTCTTCGCGTATAATACACTCTGTGACCTCTGCCGGGAGAGACGCGTCGATAACGAGACGTTGAGAGAAATATCTTTGGAGGTCAAGGGACGCGTTAAATACGCGGACAAAGATAAAAGTATAATTCGAACGAAACACGGATTACCGTTGAAAAAGACCCAAGGACGCTCTCTTGTCGCACGTCGCTGATACGAATTTTCGGGATACGTCATTTTACGTTTCGCCTTGTCTCTATGAATCGAAATTATCCGAGTCGCCTCGCTCGTAGAGAAGTGGGAAGGCCAACGGGAAAACGGGGAATAATCGGTTATCGCTGCTTTCGCGGATATAGAGATGAGAGCCATATAGAAATTTGTGCTTTAGCCAAATGAGCCGAGCTTTTTGAAAGATAAAAAAAGGAGTCTCTCGCTTGATCGATAATTGGAATAATACGGTGTCGTATTTTTTTTTTTTTTTTTTTCAAACTGTACCTTGGTAAACCTCGGCCAAAATGGTTCTTTGGCAGACTCCTAGACTCTAGTATGCAGCGAATGCTCAGCCCACGGGAAGGGAGGCTGGTTTCCTTTTTCGGTTCATTTGTGCGCGAGCATCGCGATTAACGTTATTTTTCACAAAATTACGCGGGTGCTTATCGTGTGAGATGGTACCCGGAGAATGAAGTGCCCATTGCGCAGGCGGGACAGGGCTTTTCGTTACGCTGCCGGATAACGTGGTTCAACCGAGATCTCGGTACGTTCAAGAGTAACACGGTCTCTGAAAGAGCTTCTTTCTGATTTAGGTCACGTAGTTTTTTTGTTAATTTTTTGTTTCTTGGAACTTCGTTGTATTATTTTCTTTTTTAATTCACTGCGAGGTCACGATGCGAGGACCGTGAGGACGACTTTTCATTGATTCCTAATTTTTCATTAGTTTTTTACACAGCTTTTCGTACACTGCTTTCCGTGTATTTATTTTTTCTGTTAACACGCGCGAATTTCTCGGCCTCGCAACGTGACGCATTTACACCTCTCTCTCCTGTAAAAAAAAAGCGAAAAATGACTGTAACGTCTGAAACCAAGCAAGAAAGCAGCCCGAGATCGTCGACCGAAGAGAAGACGGTGTTTGGGGTCGCCCTAGATCAGCTGAAATCTTCAGAATTATGTAGGACCCCCCCGTACGCCCCGCGAGCAAACCCCCCTCTGCACCCTGTGCGGACGTAGTAGAACGATAAAGATAATTACTACGGTCGATCCCTGTTTTACCGACTCTTGCATATTTTTCATTGACCAATCGTAAAAGTCACGTACGCACGTTATATCTAAATGCGTAGGTTTTAAAATCGCTGCTATGCACAAGGCCCCCCCGACGCTCGTACTGCATTATAGACGCCTGAAGTTAGCTCACTTACATTATTCATAAGAACGAATCGACTCGCCAGCAAAACTACTCGAACTCGAAGATTCGTAGCGACCAGTGCCTCCGTTGTATTGGTGCCGCGACTGTACGAATAATTATTCACCCATATCATTCTCCTCTCTCCGTAGGAAATGCCAATTTGGGTTAGAATCCCAATTTTATATTTCATGCAGTCCGATAGCTTCCGCGTGTTTGGCGTACACGATAATTAACCGGTCAAACAGACAATCGAATATAATGAAATTTAGATTAGGCTGGGTCTTAAGATACAAGTTTACAATTCGCAGTAGAAAATTAACATCTAACACGGCTGCCACGTTTCCTTGACGCGCGTCCAGTTCCAGAGACGGCGTGCAACGTAGGCTGAATCAAACTGTAGAATACGGAGGCGAAGCCACATGTCGTCGGTGGCCCTCCCAGGGTTGCCGTATCGCTTGTTGCTATGGGAAATTCAAGACCGCGTTAAGCCTCTCGGTAACGCGAGACCTTCTCGGAAGGAACATACGGAATCCTGTGCCAGTGAGAGTCTCAGTGAGAGGCTTCTTTCGAGTCCTTTTCATTATTTTTATGTTTCTCCTTCTTTTCGATTCGACCCCCTCGACTCCGTCTCTCTCTTCCGTTTATCCCCTCTCGCGCCTTCGCCGTCTCTGGGGAAATTCTCCGACGGCGTCTTCGGCAGACAAACTTGTCCGAACAAGACTAGTCGCAGAAAGAGACGAAAAACAAGATATTCGCGCACGTGTTGGGATTTCGTGACGCGTATCTCAAGACGGAGAAATAATTTCGCTAGGTTTGGTTAGCTCGAATACGTACCCGTGTACAAGACCGTCGCGTACTGGATTTAGTGGCCTGGCCGTTCCCACGAAAACTCGTTGGCCTTGAGTCTGTTCGTTTAAGCTTAGTACAGGCCAGACACATAGAGACGGATAGACTTATAGATATGTCGTGATGGCGCTAGAGAGAGACGCATATAGATAGACAGTACCCTCTCAGGTAGAGAATGGGCCTAAGCTGCACGTCGTGCGACAGACTGACGGAAAAAGAGAGAAGTGTGTTGTTCCGTTGGGATATAGGAGATCGTTATGGAAATCGGTTGGCTTTATACATTGGGAGTGGTATTTTTTTTTTTTCGCGCTGTAAGGTGACCCAGAATCGTCGGTTCTGAACTGCATTAGCGCCGGACGTTGACTCCGACTCGTGTAACGCGGAGAAGGTGGCTGATTGCGCAATACGATCGGCGGCCATTGCTACGTCCTCGCTGTGGCTTTTTATTTTAAATAAGCCGCGTCTGTTAGGCTGCAACTACGGGGAAGTTCGAGTCTTCCTGCGTTATAATACTTTCTCGAAGGAGAGCCGTAACTTTTTAGTGGAGAGAGGAGAGCAGCGCGATTTCAGTGCCTTCTTCATTGCGATCGTGCGTGATGCACGGTATTGTATTTTTTTCTTCTTTGATTTTCTTTGGCTGCGCAACGGCCAAACTCTTTCTTGCAAACGTGTATTCTCTTATCTCGTGGCGTCTGGCAGCTCGAAACGCAGCTGCTTCGGGACTCGTCAGGCAGCTGCGCACCGTACGTTTATACTGTGGCCAGATGCAGTACGAACTACAGCGATACAGATGGCGCCACTGTGCGCGCGAGACACGCCGGAAACGGACGTGTAAATTAGGTACCGGCCTCTTTTTTTTCGCGAATTATACAGCGATAACTTTGTGCCTGCTGAACGCGGATGGAGTTCGAGAGAGAGGCAGGAGGCAGGTTTGGAAAATTTTTCACGAGAATTTAGGCCGGAGGCGGACTTGTCGTTTATCTCTTTCTAACTTACGCGGTACTTCGGTAAAAACAACGGTTTTTTTTCCTTTTTTTTTCGGTTATTCTTTTTCCTTTCTATTCTCGAGTCAGGCCCATAGATGTTAGGTGGTCGCCGGGCGTGGTGATCCAACGTGGGAGGCAAGGTAATTTCGGAGAGAGAGGAGCGACCACTCCTGTCAATGCCAGCGTCAAATTTTATTACTAAAAGTGCCCCCGGTACGCAACGTACACGCGATAAAGAATCGTGCGTGTTATTTTTTTTCTCTCTTGAGCACCCGCGGGTATTTGAAAATCTTGTGGAAAACAAATTTTTTCTTTTCAATACCTAATTTTTTTCTTCCGTCGTCTCGCTCGTGTAATATGACTTGAATGTTATCTTTTTGTGTCCAAAAGTTTATCGTTCTCGTTTACTCGCTGACGAAAAAAAAAAAAAAAAAAAAAAAATTTTTCTTCCGTCGTCTCGCTCGTGTAATATGACTTGAATGTTATCTTTTTGTGTCCAAAAGTTTATCGTTCTCGTTTACTCGCTGAAAAAAAAAAAAAAAAAAAAAATGAATACCCTAAATCGAACGCGTCAGGCATATGTCACAAAAGCATTGTGCTCGCATTGATGGTAAAGGTCGTTTCGTTCTACCATCAGAGACTTGTTACCTTGAATCGAGTTTTTGAGTGTCCGGTCTTCTCGGGCCTTGATTTTCCAGTACTTTTTCCAATTGTCAGTAATCTATTTTTTTTTGTCTTTTGCAATTTTCAAATCAACCCACCTTAAAACGGCTTGCTTTATGGCGTCGTCGTTCGATGCCCAGAATTTGTTTTCTTACGCAATCTCGCGGTTCGTCGATTTGCCAAACATTGTGGATCCACACTGATTCCTACTGCATCGGGTTCGAAGGTCCAATAACTATCGAAGTCCGACAAACATCCACGCGCATTCAGTACTTTGAACTTAATTTTTTCTCATTTTTTTTCCTTTTTCTTTTTTTCTTCTTTTTTCTTTTTTTTCTTTTTTTTTTTTTATAAATTACTCTTCCTCAATCTCAAAAGTCGCGGACCCCTCTGGACACGCGTCCCCTCTAGTTCACGGTCCTTCCACCGCAAGCTCTGACGATTGCGAACCAATGGAACCAATGTGTTCCATGGACAGCGCGTACCGAAAGAAAAAGTACGAAACAAAAATAAAAGTAAGAGAAGGACACAAAGCTTATCCGACGACGAATTCTAGCTAACTGCGTTGCGCCACGTTATCTGCAGCGCGTAGAATGATCTCAGGTTTACATGGCCGTTTGTTTAAAGATTATCCAAACACAAAAAAAAAAGAAAATGAAATGCGGAACGGCATAAGGGAACGATCAGGACGGGATTGGCCCCGAAGTCGATTCCGAAATTTCGCTTCGGCGCTGATCCTCATTCCGGGGTGGCCCCCTAATGCCGTGTCCCCCCTCCACCCGATCCCTGATCCCAGATGAAACCTTTAAAAAAAATACCCTCTCGTAGTCGTGTTCGTGTTTACATTTTTTATTTTTTTTTTGGTAGTCTATATACGTAGTAGAAGAAAAAAAAAACAAAGAAACGGAGGATACTCTTGGAAATCGTGTCCAACCGATGACCACACGCAGTATTTGCTCACACGCGCCTCTTCCCGTTCGTTCTCTGTTTACGCTTCGCTGTTATCGCCGTCGCGTCTTCTCTTGACCGTTTCGATTATCGTCGC